GTTGCCTTCGACATATCGAAGGAGAAAGGTCATGAGGTGCTTCTCGGAACAAACGCACTGGGAGGCTTAGGGGTTCAGATCCACCTCCCTAGAGCACCATTATTCCCCATACAAAGGTCAAATCATAGTGGGAAGGTCACCGTCGCAAGAAGGACCTACATACCGCCATACAGCTCGGCCGTGGTACAAGCACATTGTGATCTTGACGAAGGTTCTGTTGAACGCATTATATGGCCAGTTTCGAATGGAATGGCGGCAGGGGTGTTTAAAATAGAGAACTGTGAATGTGCGATACCGGTAATAAACGAAAAAAGCGAACCAGTGATGTGGAGAGGTGATGAGATTGGACACTGGAGTACTGAGAAGTGGAGAGAAGGCTGGGATGAGCTGAAGCCAGCGCTGTTGGAAGAAAGAGAGCCCATATTAGAACCAATGGCCAGAAAACAGAAACTGTTAGAGCAAATTGCCCAAAACAGGTCATCCAAAGAAATCCCCGAAGATATCCGGATACTGCTGGAAGAGAGAAGGGAAGCATTTGCGGTGTGTGACCAGGAACTCTCGGCCACTAGCGAAGTCGAAATGGATGTAGACACAGGGGATGACCCACCCATCAAGTTGAAAGCCAGACCTGTTCCTCTAGCAATGCGAGCTAAGTTGAAGGAAATGCTGAATGATCTCGTATCTAGGAGAATTATCGAGAAAAGTGCGTCGGCATGGGCTTTCCCCATAGTTTTGGTGGAGAAGAAGGACGGCAGCCTAAGACTCTGTGTTGATTACCGCGAGCTAAACAAGTGCATCCGTCAAGATGCGTACCCGATGCCGACGATAGACGCGATGTTACAGAGCATGGCCGGCAAAAGATACTTTTCGACCCTGGACCTTTACAGCGGATATTGGCAGATTCCGCTTACACAGGAGGCAAGGGAAAAGACGGCCTTCGCAACTACAGAAGGCCTGTTTCAATTCAGGGTTACACCATTTGGCCTTAGTACTTCGCCTGCGGTATTCCAAAGAATGATGGACACAGTTCTAAAGGATATGTTGGG